GGAGGCGCGTATTGGGGACGGAGTACGTAGTACGTACGTTGTTTGCCGCGACGGGACGGGACGCGATGGCAATCATGCGGTGGTTGCCGGATGCGCCGAGGCCTGGGGGGTGGGGGGTGGGAGAGGGGCGCGTGCGTGTCTTAAACGCTGGATTGACCCGAGCCGCCGAGTTGGCTGCCTGCCCTGCCGTCGTCGGCCTTTTGCGGTGGGCGACCCGGTCGGGCTGGCTGGCTGGGGCCACGGCCCACGACACGGGCGTGGCGGTGGCGGTGGGGCCCACTTACCAGACTGGGCTTGGGGAGAATGGTCAGGACAATGGTTACTGGTTTTTGCTCGATTTGCACAACCCCCTCTACCCATTTTTAGACGCAGCATTGCCATTGACACGAGGATAAGCTTCTTATTGCTCAGATGGAACGGTTCGATCTGTGCATGCGGTTCCGTTCCATGAATGGGCTGGTTTCATCTGTGCATTTGACTGGAGTGAAAGAAAAAAAAAGAGTTGGAATTTTTTATTTTGTTTTTTGCGGGAAAAATGTTGGAATTAAATGGTTTCGTTTCAATGTTTGGTTCAAGATACGGGGTGTGGCTGATTTGGTCGGGCTCGCCTTTTTCATAAGACTGGTGAGGTTACCTCTCATATGCATATTATGCATACTCTCAAATAAATATAGCTCTTCACGTGCTTAGCAACATATTGTTCAAATTTTCAGCAGCATTTCTGATATTTGCATAATGTTGTCGAACCAGTTGTGTGATGTGAAGTCTTTAGCATCTTTAATTGTATATCAAGCCATATTCATGACAACCAAGGTTTAGGATTTTTTATCACCATTTTGTGGAAATTTAGAGACAATTCGTGTCAATGGCAATGTTTACTTTCCAATTTTCTATTTACCTCAAATATAAAGAATTAATAACATAGAATCTGTGAAATATAACCGCAAAAGTTCAATTGCTAACAATACAAATGAAATCCAGAAAACACCTTTTGTTTGTCTTGGCTAAGGGCAACCATCTCCGAGCCAATGCCCGATCCAAATGTCTTCACATCAGCCAAATCTTCGCCATCATGGAGCACCTCATCATCGGTTTGTCCTCATTGCTTCCAGGCCTAATGATGAGTGGATTTTCACTCGTTTTTACCCATGTTCAAACTGGATATTCTCATATTTTTCTGAAAGAATCACTTCAATTTGCCTGCCACTGACTGATGACTACAAATCCTTTCGTTTATTTTGTTTCCTACAAAAAATTTGCCTATTTTAGGTGATAATCGTAAAGGGAGTATATTGGGCGTGAAGGTCAATTCCAGTCAGAAGGAGCCACGTAGTTGTATGCAGAGCAGAATATGACATGTGGGCGCTCTTGCCAGTGGCATGGCGGTGGCGGTGGGGCCCACTTGCCAGACTGGACTTGGGGAGAATGGTCAATGGTTACTGGTTTTTGCTCGATTTGCACAACCCCCTCTACCCATTTTTAGACGCAATGTTGGCATCTAGATTAATTTGGAACGTGGGAACCTCTTGACACGAGGATGAGCTTCTTATTGTTCAGATGGGACGGTAGGATCTGTGCATGCGGTTCCGTTCCATGAATGGGTTGGTTTCATCTGTGCATTTGACTGAAGTGAAAAAAAAAGTTGGAATTTTTTATTTTTATTTTGCGGGGAAAAGTTGGAATTAAATGGTTTCGTTTCAATGTTTGATTCAAGATACGGGATGTGGCTGATTTGGTCGGGCTCGCCTTTTTCATAAGACTGGTGAGGTTACCTCTCATACACTGGCGGTGTTACGTGTTACAAAAAAAGGCTACAGCCCGCCAAGCCGGTAGCAAATGCAGTGGAGGACTGAGGGTAGGCTGAGCTGTGAGAGAAAAAAATAGTGGATTCCTTTGTACTGGCATGCCCACCTTTGACAGCGTAGCTCCGCCACTGCTCTCATACTATGTATGTTATGCATATTCTCAAATAAACATAGCTCTTCATATGCTTAGCAACATATTGTTCAAATTTTGAGTACCATTCCTGGTATTTACATAATGTTGTCAAACCAGTTGTGTGATGTGAAGTCTTTAGCATCTTTAATTATATAAATCAAGACATATTACTGACAACCAAGGCTTATAAATTGTTGTCACCGTTTTGTGGAAATTCAGAGAAAAGATAATGTTTACTTTCCATTTTTCTATCTACCTCAAATATAAAGAAAAAATAAGGTACAAACATTAGGAGACCAATGATCATCCATGCCACAACACCAGCGATGATCCCCTTTATTGTCACCAGCGATGAGCGGTGGGGAAGTGAGTCGTCCTTTGCGCTGAAGCATATACCTCTGGGGCACACCGCTGCTGGTCATGGGGATGGCGTTGGAGACCCGCTGCTTTAGTTCTCTTGGTTCATGGCCGGACACGGGGAACGGGCGTCGACGACCATTTAGACCTAGTCGGACGAGCTTCGCTTAGTTGATGTAAATGTAATGAAATATGTCATGTATAGATGAAATCCGTCAAGTTTATATGAAATTCGGTCATGTTTATATGATATCCGATCGTGTTTGATCGAACTTCGTCCGGTTAGTTTGAGTTGTTGTCAAAATGTTTGCGGCTACAGTTGGATGTCGTTCTTCTATATCGGTGTCTACGAACTGGTCCCTCTTGTCCGCGGACGGATGCGGAAGGAAATTTACGGGTTATCGCTGAAGATGCCCAAATAGACTCGACCACCTTAGCGATACGCCGATACATGATATGAAGCTATTGATTCCTAATCTCTACTCCTAATGGAGCAGTTGGTAGTCTCCGCCGGTCAATTTTCGTCCCACCACTTTCGTTCATTTTTTTTCGTAGGTTAACCTTCGTAGATTTTTTTCGTTGTTTTTTTTCGTCTGGTTTTTTTGTCTCACCTTCCATTATTATATCCTCACGGTGTTTTTTTTTCACTCTCTCATTAAAAACTTTTTAACATTTGCAAACTTTCCTAACCATGCGTGTCACAAACGGGCAGGTATTGATATCACGTTACAAACAATAAAACCCATTTTCATGGAAATCAATTCAAATCCTAATTTCCTAACACATTGATTCTTACCTATTCTAATCTCTACTCAGTTGGTAGGCATGTCACAAACGGGCAGGTATTGATATCACGTTACAAACAATAAAACCCATTTTCATGGAAATCAATTCAAATCCTAACTTTCCTAACATGTTGATTCTTACCTTTTCTGATCTCTACTCAGTTGGTAGGTGGTATCTTCGCTTCCTACTCCCAAACCTCGATCGCACAATCCCCGAGGATTCCCCACGATTCTGCACGCACAAAAGAAACAAGCAAGAAAAACCAGCGTGACTGAAACCTACAAACCTATGTCCCTCTTCCTCCCCAGCCGCGAAACGAAGCCGGCTGGCCTCCACCCATCGCGTGCGCCTAGGGTTCTCGATGGAGCCTGCGGCCTCCATGTCGTCGGCGAATAGGCGAAGGGCGGCCTCAGAGGCCCTGGAGCTGCAGCTACGGCGGAGGACGCTCGAGACCATGCTGGAGCAGTGCGATTATCGAGACGATGTTCAGGAGTGTGAGGATGGGAATCCGGGCTAGGGGCGGACGGCTGGGCGGCGACATCAGCGACGGGGAGGGGCCACCCCGGCGCCGGGGTTGGCGTATCCGAGGGCAGTCCACGATGGCTGCGGCGAGGGTGGGCTCATATCCCGTTCATGGAGCTCTCCCGGCACCGCCGCCCCGTTTCCCATCTCTTCCCGATTCGGCGCCGCACCATCGTCTCCTATCTCTCCCTGAAGTCACGATACTGGTGGTTGCCTAGGGCTCAATCCAATGAAACGCAGGATGGTCGGACACTCCAGTGCGGATGCTTGGAAGGGTGTGCTGGCCCTCGCTTGGAAGGGGATGAGATTGTCAGGAAGTTAACTTGGTTGGCGAGAGACCAGGCGCAAGATGTGGTGGAGTGGAGATGACGGAGGTTATGGTTGGTGTGGAGATCACGTGCCAGCTGCTGGGAGGATCACGACGATGGCATGTGTGCGTTCCAGGCATTGGGCTGGGTAGCAATGCAGGATGGCTATGCGACTTCCATGGCGATGCAGACGGAACAATCAACGTCAGCATGGCCTTGGTTGGCTTGGGAAGGCTTCAAAAACTGTATATTGGTTTCATCTTGCTTTTTTTTCTCTTTCACAAGTACATGTTCACTTATTCTATTTTTTAGCTGATGTTCTTTTGGTTTTAATGATGCATGAGGGTGTGATAAAAATGATTAGAAGTAATATACACTAACGTTAGGTTTAGCATTGGGGGTAACTTGGTAAGTAGTAACAATTTGTGGGTTCAAGCCACGCACCA